GATTTTCGATTTTTTTTTCGAAAACACTCTCAGAATCCAAATTTTCATCAATTTTTTCCAAAATCAATTTCAATTAAATCCCAAAAATTATTTTACCCCATTTTATTATTATTATTATTTTTAATTCTATTAAATTAAATTAAAATTTTATAAATTAATTATTAAAATAAAATAAAATAAAAAAAATTTCAATAATAATAAAACAAAAAGTTTTGGGTGTTACAAAATGTCAAATAATTTGTATATAGATATTACTCGTGATTTTCATATTTAAGAAATAATTAAATAAACTCAACTCCTGTCTCTTTCTACAACAATAATATTATGTTCTCACGTGCAAATGGTAGAATCATAAAAGCACAAAATTGAAATTTAACATAGAATTGATGTAGAATTAAAAAGTCATTTCGATTCAAATTTTTGTTATTTTTATATTGCAATATTTCATAAAATTAAAATTTGACTTAAACCCAATCTTATATATACAAGATGAAATTACTGGAGTTCATTTATTTTCATAACGCACGATTATATTACTTAAGATATATCTATATTATATTTTAATCTATGTATATCTATTAACTCGATATAACTCCATAAAGATAATTATTTCTACCTCTCATTTATTTGCTATTTGCTTGTATAATTGCTCTCGTTTTATTTATCCATCGCTTTATTATGTTTATCTACCTAATTTACATTAAAAGTCAAAAGAGTTTAAAATTTTATAAGTTTGATAAAATAATTAATATAATATTAAAAATAAAAATGTCTTCTCATAAACAACATTCAAGCCAAATCATTAAACCCAAAAATCTAATAAAACACTAACTATAAATATAAATTAGTATATTAACAGGTAACATGCTTTGTTTGATACGGACACCATTTATACATGGCAAATATGATATGGATATAGAGTGGGTATAGGCTTTATACGTACACCATTTTTACCACATTTTTTAAAAATTATTTTTAATTTTATTCTTTATTTAATTTTAAATAAAAATAAAAAAATTATATTTATTCATTAATTTTAATTACAATTAAAATTAATTAGTGTATTACATGTTAACAGGTAACATGCCTTATTTGATACCTACGCCATTTATACATGGCAAATATGGACATAGAGTGGGTATAGGCTTTATACGTACACCATATATACATAAAAAAGTATAACTTTTTTAATTTGCATCCAACCCTAATTAGTATATTAACAGGTAACATACCTTATTTGATATTTTATCATTTTAAACAATAGGCTAAATCAACTATCTTAGAAGTTTTAATTTATAGGAAATAACCCAATATATCATTAATATGTTGATATACAATTTTATGATCAAAATTCTTTTTGGAGACTTGAAAGAACTAAGACTAAATAACATGATTACAAATAATTTTATCCTAAATTTCAAGAATTAAAGTTATCAATAAATTCTCACAATTTTTAATAATTATTAATTTTATGTCTCACCAGTATATAAAATTTTAAAAATGTGTACAAAACGATATTTTAAATAAGTGAAATAAAAAGTTTAACGATATCTATTAACTATAGAGAGAGAGAGAAATTATTTAGTCAAATAAATTAACATAATTTATATATATTAATAACGATATCATTTTTAGATTTTTAGTTAAAATCAAATACATATTGATTATTATTTTTAATATTATAAAAATAAATTCTATATTAATACTATTTTCTCACATTATAAAAAAAAAAAATTCTCAATCTTTTTAAAATTAAAAAAAAAAACAATACGTCTTTCAAATTACTATAGAATATATTGGATTGTAGGTAATTAAAGGCTCCACATGAAAGAGAGGGCATACCGATATTCTTTATTGAATTGTAGACAAACAAATATGGTTAGAAACGAACAACGTCGGTAGGTTACAAATTGGAAAAAAATGACTACAAACAATACAAAATTACACTTGAACAACAAAAGAAAAAGAAACTATACCCTCATCGTCATCTAAATGTCTCTATAACATTATTTGCTTCGTATACATATTTTTAAACCTAATAAAAATCAAAACCCTATATTTGTATACATATTAACTTATGTATGGCCGCAATTGGGAATTACAAATTTACCAAGTACCATCATCGCAAGGTGAGCAACCCTCTTTGGCAATATCAGTAATTTGAACTCCTGTGTCATAAATTTCTCCATTTTTCCAATCAGCAGGCAGCACATGCTCTGCCCATATCCACTTCCCATCAAACCCAGCTGTTATCACAAACCTGAATTGCAATGCACCACTTGGTACTCTGCTTGTGTCCCACACTGCCCCAAAGTTCCTGCTCATGAAACTCCAATTTGAGGATCCAACCTGCCAAAAACCAACATTTACTCTAATTAATTCACATTACTTTGATAATTTAAATACTTAAACTTCTGATTTAAAATAGATAGTACAAATAGGTGACCAAATAAAGTGTGATATGGGGTTTTTTTGGCTACCAACCTGAGCGATATCCATTGCAACAATTTCTGTCTGCCCACCTTGATAGAGCAATTTGATGGCCAAGTAATGTGGTTTTTGGCTTGAGTCTTCAACTCTCACTGCCAAGTTCTGTTTCTTGTAGTTGCAGGGTACCCTGTTCCATTTCACATAATTAAAGAGGAAAATTGGAACTGTGTTGCAGAGAAAGAGGACTGTTTTTTATTACATATATATGTATATTAATATGGTGAACAAATTGGACCGTTGATAGCCATTAATGGTCCTGGTGTTCTGTTCTTGAGGAAACAGGATTGGGTTTATTATTTTTTTAAGCTGGTCCCCATGGGACTGGACTTTCTATGTGGTGGGTGCAACAAAACCATCAATAGGAAATACTTTTAATATAATTTAAACTTTTTCTAAAATTATTATTATTATGGATAAGATTTTAATAGTATCTTAAAAAGGAAAACCCAGCTACCTCTTATATTCCACGTCAACAATGCCAAGTTTCAAAATGTCTTTGCCCATGCCATTGTTAGCCATGGCCATGAAAGCTCTGCTACTGAGCACAAAATCTGTTTGGTTGCTGCGATTAAGGTCAGTCAAAGTCACTGTGGTGCCTTTGCTACTGCACAGAGTTTTGTTCTTGCATCTTATCTGCCAAAAGCACAATACTTTCAATGTTAAAAAAAAAATAATAATTTTCAGAGATAAAAATAAAAAATAGTCAAAACTCAAAATCTAACAAGGCAGAGCAATTAAAAAATGAAACAGAGGTGGCCTAAAATATACCTCAAAACACGCACCACAACCAGCACCATCCTTGAAAAGAGAAGGAACGCCAGCTGCTAGGTGTCCTCCCCCTAACCCTAATGCCAGAGAACCATACCCACATGCCCCAGCTGCATCAAATGCACAAAACGAAAATTACCCACTAAATTTCTCATCAAAAAATCATCTGGGTACTTCTAATTTTTGCAATTTATGCTAAAAAAACCATCTGGGTATTATTAAAATTAAAAAAAAAAAAAAAACAAAGAAGGAAAGAAAAAATTGTATAGAGACTTACATGAAAGTGCGGAGGCTTTAGAGAAAAACGCTGCCTTGGATTGGTGGACACAGCGATCACAAGCAGTAGCAGATGAGAAAAGCAAGAAGATGAAAGGAAGGAAGAGAGCCATTTTATTTTTTTTTCCTTTTCTGATTAGTTACCAAAAAACTTAACAAGGGTGAAGAAAAAAGGGAGTTCTTGGTACGTACATATACATTTACAAAGCGTGTGTGTGTGTATATAAAAGTATGAAGGAGGGAGATGGATTAGTGTGGAGTACAGGTCAGCATTTCCAAAAAGGTTTTGTAATGTGAATTCCTTTTTAATAATCAGATTTCAGTTTGACGTGTAGAGAAGTGGAGGGTTGATCTTTAAATTAAAAAGAAAGAAATGAAGATGGTGATTTTTTGGTTCAGACGCGGAGAGGGGAGACAAAGAGGGGAAAAGCTGATGGGGTCCTTCACCGACTTCTTGCCTATCCACTAACAGCTGTTGGTGATGTGAGAACATTCAGAATTGTAAATTTTACTAATTACTAATCCCATCAAATATTTACAATTTTATTTTCCATTAATCAATTTTTTAAATTATAATTATAATTAATTATTTATTTGTGTAAAACAGGTAAATGTTCTATCGTTATAAAATTCGTAAGATGTTTCATTGATATTAGGGATCCAAATTTTAATTTTTTTTTAAAAAAATAATGAGAAATGTTTGAATTGTATATTAATTAGGTTGATCCTTGACAACTCTCCTTAAACTACGTACATAATAATGTTGAATCCAAATCCATCATCAATTGAGTCAATCTTTACTTTTGTAAGTGTACAAAATTTACATAATTACTTTAATAAAGATACATATATTTACTAAATTTAGTTATAAATTATTATTATTTGACTATCATTTTACGTTACTTTTTAATATTATTTTTTATTGTTGGCTTTTGGTATTATACTGATTAACATAGTCAAGATGATAAAAATTAATAGTTAAATAATAATAAAATATAGTAAAAAAGTAATAAAATTTAACAGAAAGAAAAAAAAAAAACATTTAAAATTAGAGATAATGTACAAAATCAAATATGGATTATATTAAAAAAATAATAATAATCCAAAAAGTGAGATTCAAATAGTATGCAAACATTAAAGACTAAACAACCAATTTAGTAAAAAACAAATATATATATATATATATTTTTAATTGAGTTTACAAAAAAGTTAATATTTGGATAGTTGTAATATTCAACTATATTAATATCATGATTAAGAATATTATATATATATAAATATTATATATTATATTGAAATGAAACGTGATTGATTTTCAAAATTGATCATGTCCGTAAACAATATGGTGTTGGCAGCTAGAAAATGTTAAAGAAATGGTTAGGTATCATAAGCTGATTAACATGAGCTAATTATGAGATCGGACAGAAGTATAATTTACTCACGTTTTGGTTACTTAGTAGCTAATTCAATTTTATTTTATTTTATTTTTGTTAATTGTGGGATCAAATTAAAAGGTTTATGGAGTTAATTAGTCCTAATTACTAAATTCATTATTATTAAAATAAAAATGAATTATATAATAAAATTAAAAGTTTTGCAATGTTTGAAATTGTTTGGGGAAGAAATTATAAAATCTTTAATTTACATAATGATTTTATGAAGATGGAAAAGAATTTAATGGGATGCGTAGGTGTACGGTCCGAAGAAAAAGACAAAGGAAACAAAAAATTGTGATAAAGTTTGTTGAAGATGATGATTGCATTTGTTTGTTGATAAGAACAAAAATTCTACACCCAAAACCCATTTGTCATGCCAACATATTGCACCTCCTATTATTATTATATACATATATATATATATATAATATATTAATTAATTAATCACACACCATTTATAACTAAATACCCTTTTAAGGCCGCAGTTAGATTCACAAAAATTTATTATTAGTATCTGCAATTTGTTTTTTTGTTTTTTTTTCAAAAAAATTTCATGAGAAAATTAAAATTAAAATTTAACCCAATATTTTTAATTAATTAGATGATTAATGTTTCCATGTGCTTAGTATTTTAGAATAATATGATTTAGATCAGGCATCTTCCTTGCAATCATCTATGCAAACTATTGGTCATCATGATCATGTTTTCCAATTGATTGTCATTCAACAAATTGGATCCACCTGCCCAGTGAATATGATGACGACTTCACTTTCGGTTCTATCGAATTTAATTAGGAGGCCGAGTCGCTGGATTTTTAGAAATTATTATCACAATCAATTATAAGTTAACAATACAGCTTGAATCTATGGTAATAGCAACTGGTACTGAATGTTTTAATCCAGCAATACCTTGTGGTGGGCAAAATCAACAACGGTGTCTGAGGAATGTCAATGGAAGTGCGCATAGATTAGGGCAACAAAGTTATTGATGATTAGAAGTTCAGTAAAGCATGCGTATGATTACTTTATTCCTCCCACTTTGGAAAAAATAAAAGTAAAACTTGGTGTTGGCCTGTTTCTTTTCTCAGTGGGTTCAAATTTTTGGACAGCCTACAAAATGCACAATATGTCTGTATGCACGTCTCTTGACTCCACAGCAAGACAAATTTGATATTAAATTACAGAGCATCTTCACGAAATCTTCACCATTCTATTTTTTGTTGCATCTTCACTTTCAGTAGCTTTGATTGGGTTTTGTTGCATGTTATATGCTAGTGCATGGCATATCCTAATTTTTTTTAAAAAAATTTTGAGGAGAGAAACTATAAATTTATTAATTATTTAATATACATACAACAATTATAACACAACACAAATAATTTTTAAATAAAAATACATATAAGACTTAAAATTCATAATTTTTTATAAAAAAAATAACGTATCAATCATTTCGGTCAAACGATTATTGATTTTTAATCAATTATTTAATTTTAAAAAATAATATTTATATATTTTTTACATTAGTATTAAATTATAAAAAAATTATTAATTTTAATATTAAAATAACATATTGTTATAATTAACATAATTTTTAAATAAAATAATGATACAAATATAATATGCAATAATTTTATACAAAGGCAAACATTTTCAGTTATTCCGCAATCATATAAATTTGCTTGAATCTTCTAATATTTTTCGAGCTTATAATGGGAAAACAAAAATAAAAGGGTTTCTCTTGTTATATAACCTATGATCAATCAGATAAATGGTCTATAAATGAAAGAGGAGAAATCAGATCTTGAGGAAGTAGTTTCCTGTACCATTTTGTTACAGCACACAAAAATAGTCAACCTTAATCATCATAAGGATTTATATTGAAACTATTGAATTCGGAACCTGGTAAAGCAGGTTCAAGCATGAATACAACCGGTAACACGTTGAACGGAAACAGTTCGTTTTAATACATCTGTTATGTTCTCTTCCCCCCCTCCTCCTCAACTGAAACTATTACAAGACTCTGTAAGGGCCAAAAGCTTTTACAAGATGGTGATGAATGTGTACGAACAGGTTTTCTTTATGGTCAACAATACTGTACAATCTCTTTGCTTCTCTTATCAAAAAAGTAAAAGAAAAATAGCTGATTCTTACAAGTTTCTTCAGTATTTTCACGTGTGATGAAACATGAACTCAGCTGCAAAGACAGCCTTCAAATGATGAAGCTTCTCGACCTTCAACTTCACAGCCTATTAGTCAGCTTCCCTTTTCAGTC